GCGTACATACCAGGGTCGCGGCTGCGACCCTGGTATGCACCCACAGGGCCAGCGTCTTCCCCTGGGGGGCCCAGGAGGCGGCCACCCCAGGGCCCCCCGAGGCTGGCCCTGCTGACCCCGGCGGGTGGCCAGCCGGGCAGGAAGGCGGGCGCGCGAGGGAGCACTCAGTGCTTCCTCTTCAGCTCCCTCGCGCACCGCACTGATACCGGAGCCGGAAGATGACGTCATCTTCCGGCGCTGGCATCCCTACGCGGCGCGCGAGGGAGCTGAAGAGGAAGCAGTGAGTGCTCCCTCGCGCGCCCGCCTTCCTGCCCGACCGGCCACCTGCCCAGGAGCCCAGCAGCACCACTGGACCCCAGGGAATCCCCCCAGCACTCCAAAAGGTAAGGAGGCTGGGGGGATTACATTTAAAAAAAAAATGTGTGTTTATGTGTTTGGAGTTGCACGACAGATGGGGTTCTACCTTTAGTCCAACCTTGCAATTGGGGGTCCCAATAAAATTCATTCTACTTTAGTACCGCCACTGCGTTGGGATGGATGCCGTGATTGCATACCAGGGAGTGAGGGGCGAGAGCAGGAGGGCCCAGGGGGCCCAAGCAAACACTTGCCCAGGGTCCATTCGTTATTAAAGACGGCCCTGGCTGTGGACAGGCGGCTGCGCTTGTCTGTGATAACGCCCCCTGCCATGCTAAACACACCTTCAGACAATACACTGGCTGCAGGGCAGGCCAGCACCTCCAAGGCATAAAGGGCAAGCTCAGGCCATGTGCCCAATTTGGAGACCCAGAAGTTGAATGGGGCAGACCCATCAGTCAGTACGTGTAGGTGTGTGAACACGTACTGTTCAACCATGTGTGTGAAATGCTGCCTCCTGCTAAGACGTTCCATATCAGATGGTGGTGCTGGTTGTTGTGGCGTGCTAACAAAGCTTTTCCACATTTCGGCTATGCTAACCCTGCCTTCTGAGGTGCTAGCGGTGCCCCAGCTGCGTTGGTGACCTCTTCCTTCTCCTCTGCCTTCACCTTGTACTTTTACTGAGCCCCCAGTGTCAGTTGGGAATGCCCTCAGCAGCGCGTCTACCAGCGTGCGCTAGTAGTTGCGCATCTTCCGATCACTCTCCGGTGAGGGAATTAAGGATGGCACATTGTCCTTGTAACGGGGATCCAGCAGGGTGGCTACCCAGTAATCAGCACAAGTTAGAATGTGGGCAGCTCGGCAGTCGTTGCGCAGGCACTGCAGCATGCAGTCACTCATGTGTGCCAGGCTGCCCAGAGGCAAGGACAAGCTGTCCTCTGTGGGATGTGTATCGTCTGTGTCCTCCGTATCCCCCCAGTCATGCTCCAGTGATGCCCACGAGCTGCCTTGGGTGCCACCCTGCTGTGAACACGGTTTATCCTCCTCATCCTCCTCCTCATCATCCTCCTCCTCATCCTCCAGAACTGTGCCCTGGCTGGACAATTGTGTACCTGGCCTATGCTGGTGCAGGAACCCACCCTCCAAGCCACTTGTGAATGACTGGCCTGATAACCCTGGAAATGGCCCCTCTTCCTCCTCCTCTTCCTCCTGTGCCACATCCTCTTCCATCATCGCCCCAAAGCATTTTTTCAAGGAGACATAGAAGCGGGATTGTAAGGCTGAGAACGGCGTCATTGGCACTGGTCATGTTGGTGGAGTACTTGAAACAGTGCAAAATGGCACACGTCTCGCATGGAAGCCCACCACTTCACCACCAGTGAAGTGGTGCTGTTCCGCAGAGCAACTGACCCGTGCGTGCTGCAGCTGAAACTCCACTTTTGCCTGCTGCTGCTCGCACAGTCTCTCCAGCATGTGCAAGGTGGAGTTCCACATTGTGGGCACGTCACATATGAGGCGGTGAGCGGGAAGGCCGAAGTTCCTCTGCAGCTCAGACAGGCAAGCAGCAGCAGGGTGAGAATGCTGGAAGCGCGCACAGATGGCCCGTACTTTATGCAGCAGCTCTGATATATCTGGATAGCTTTTCATGAATTTCTGCACCACCAAATTGAGCACATGCGCCAGGTAAGGGATGTGCGTCAAACCGGCTAGGCCCAGAGCTGCTACAAGATTTCACCCATTATCGCACACCACCAGGCCGAGCTTGAAGCTCAGTGGCAACAACCACTCATCGGTCTGTTGTATCATGCCCGTCCACAACTCCTGCAGCGGTGTGGGGTTTTTCCCCCAAACATATGAGTTTTAAAACAGCCTGCTGTCGTTTCCCCCTGGTTGTGCTGAAGTTGGTGGTGAATGCTGACCAGATGAGGAGGTGGTAGAGGAGGAGGAAGCGGAATAGGAGGAGGAGGCAACAGGAGGCAAAGAGAAATGCCCTGCAATCCTCGGTGGCGGAAGGACATGCGCCAAACTGCTATCCACCTCAGGCCCAGCCACCACTACATTTGCCCAGTGTGCAGTTAGGGGGATATAGTGTCCCTGCCCGTGCTTACTGGTTCACGTATCAGTGGTTATGTGGACCTTGACACAGATGGCGTTGCGTAGTGCACACCTGATTTTGTCCGCCAATTGGTTGTGCAGGGAAGGGATGGCTCACCTGGAAAAGTAGTGGCGGCTGGAAACCACGTACTGTTGGACAGTCACCGCCATCAGGTTATTAAAATTGTCCATCTCCACCAGACTGACAGCATTTCAAAGGTCACGAATTTTGGAATGCTGGTATTCAGGGCCAGGGATCGCGGGTGGGTAGGAGGGTACTTCCTCTTTCTCTCCAGTGTTTAGGAGATGGACAGCTGAACGCTTCCATGGGACAGTGTGGAGATGCTTCGGGACGGTGGTGGACGTGTTGGCATTGCTGCCACATCCTCTGTTTGCGGGGTGGAGGAAGAGGCCGAGACAGCAGCACAAGAGGAAGCAGGAGGAGCCTGAGACCTTTCTTGGTTTTTGAGGTGCTTACTTCACTGCAGCTCATGCTTTGCATGTAGATGCCTGGTCATGCAGGTTGTGCTCAGGTTTAGGACGTTTATGCCTCACTTCAGGCTCTGATTGCACAGCGTTCAAACCACTCGTGTCTTGTCATCAGCACATTGTCTGATTAACTGCCACGCCAGAAAACTCCTTGGAGCTGGCTTTGGTGTCTCGGTCCCTGGGTGCGGTGGGCAGTAGCACCCTGCTCCACTTTTTGCACCCTGCTCCCTCTTATGCTATGCTGGTGCCTCTGTGCGACGACCGCCTCTTCCTCCAAACTGCACACGTCACTCGCATGAACTTCATTCCATGTGGAGTCTAGGACCTCATTATCCTGCACATCATCTTCCACCCACTCCTCAACCCTGCCCTCCTTGCCGGTCTGTACACTGCAGAAAACCACAGTAGTTGGCACCTGTGTTTCGTCGTCATCAGAGACGTACTGCGGTGGTCCTTGCATGTCCACATTCTGACACATAAGTTGTTGTGCATCAGTGCACTCAATCTCTTCCACTTCTGGGGCAGGGCGGGTTTTCTGTGGGCCATCCACAGAAAACCCGCCCTGCCCCAGCCAGCAGAGTCATCAAAAAGCATAAGAGACTGCTGCATGACTTGTGGCTAAAGTTGAGCGGACACCTGGATGTTCGGGTCCGGCGGGTTCAGCAGAACTTTGAAAAAAAGTCCGGGTTCGTGATCGAACTTGACCCCGAACTTGACCCAGGTTTAGGACGTTTATGCCTCACTTCAGGCTCTGATTGCACAGCGTTCAAACCACTCGTGTCTTGTCATCAGCACATTGTCTGATTAACTGCCACGCCAGAAAACTCCTTGGAGCTGGCTTTGGTGTCTCGGTCCCTGGGTGCGGTGGGCAGTAGCACCCTGGGTGCGGTGGGCAGTAGCACCCTTCGTGATCGAACTTGACCCCGAACTTGACCCCGAACCCCATTGAAGTCAATGGGGACCTGAACTTTTGGTCACAAAAATGCCTCTAAAAAAGTCCTGGAAAGGGCTATAGGGCTGCAAAAGAAAGTAAAATGGGGGTGAGAGTAGGACAAGTGCCCTGCAAACAAATGTGGATAGGGAAATCACTTAAAATAACATAAAAATTAAAAATACAGCTGAGCCATAAAATAGCACTAGATGGAATCTTTGATTTTAGCTTTGGAAGAACATAAATCAAAATCTAAAGCATGTCTGTCAGGAGGATCACCAGAATTATCCATTTGAGAGAGGGTTGGAGTGCAGGGTATTCTCTTTCATTGTTCAAACTGAGCTCAATTCCTGATGTATGGAGAAAAGGCCTTCACAAGCCTCTGCTATTGTGTACATAGTTTATACTAAGTGACCCATAGGTTGAGGAGGCGGTGACCATGGCGGTGTAGGTGGAAGCAGCGATGGAGGAGGAGGAGGTAGCCAACACTGTTTTTTATATATATATATATATATATATATATATTTTTTTTTTTTTTTTATTGGGGTAGCCCCCAAAATATTGGGACATACAAAAAAAGAAACATTTGCGGCCTGCGGTGCATTTCTTGCAGTCCTGATGCATGGAAAAATGCTCAACTCCTGATGCATGGAGAAGAGGCCTTCACAAGCCTCTGCTATTGTGTACATAGTTTATACTAAGTGACCCATAGATTGAGGAGGCGGTGACCATGGCGGTGTTGGTGGAAGCGGCAGTGGAGGAGGAGGAGGTAGCCAACACTGTTTATGTATATCTATTTTTTCTTTTAATTGGGGTAGCCCCCAAAATATTGGGACATACAAAAAAAGAAAACTGTTCCGCAGAGCGACTGACCTGTGCGTGCTGCAGCTGAAACTCCACTTTCGCTTGCTGCTGCTCGCAGTCTCATGAGGCGGTGAGCAGGAAGGCCGAAGTTATGCTGCAGCACAGACAGGCGAGCAGCAGCAGGGTGAGAACGCCAGATTCACAGACGGCCCGCACTTTCTGCAGCAGCTCTGATATATCTGGGTATACACCATGGCATCACAAGGGCCACCCAGAACTGGCTCAACTCCCATCAAGCCAAGTTCCCGGAGGAGATCACCCAGCTCGTCATGCTAGAGCACTTTTTCAATGTGCTCCCCAACGAGAAGGCGATGACGCATTCGTAAGTCAATCCGTCTCAACTTTCGATGCCATTGACTGCGCCTACCATGGTGACCACGGGTAACGGGGAATCAGGGTTCCATTCCTGAAAGGGAGCCTGAGAAACGGCTACCACATGCAAGGAAGGCAGCAGGCGCGCAAATGACCCACTCCCGACACGGAAAGGTAGTGACGACAAATACCAATACAGGACTCTTTAGAGGCCCTGTAATTGTAATGAGTCCACTTGAAATCCTTTAACTCTGATCAATTGGAGGGAAGTCTGGTGCAGAGCCACTGACCTGTGCGTGCTGCAACTGAAACTCCACTATCGCCTGCTGCTGCTGCTCGCACAGTCTCTCCAGCATGTGCAAGGTGGGCACGCTGCATATGAGGCAGTGAGCGGGAAGGCCAAAGTTACGCTGCAGTGCAGACAGGTGAGCAGCAGTAGCGTGAGAACGCCGAAAGCACGCACAGCCGCTACAGTGAATGTCACATCCTGTTCCAAGTTGCAGATCAGTCTGGTGATGGCTTCTGGTATACAGTACTCTTTTTACTGAAGCTGCATCAGGGTCCTGGGATGGGGCCGCACAAATGCTGGTGCTCAACACCAGGGGGCGTGCGGTTACCCTGCACCAGACCCTGCTAATCCATTCCACACTGTGATTCCTAACTTCAGCATCAGGCATACTGGGTCACGGTCGTCCGACTGCAGTCCAGATGGTGTCTGGGTCCCGGTCACCGGACTGCCCATCTGACTGTGAAAGTACGAATGGATCGTTAAATCCGGTACAAACCCAAACTTTGTAGTTCGGGTTCGCTCAATTCTGTTATGGATCCTTTGATCGCTACATGTATTACTTCAATAACTGGTAATTCTCGAGCTAATACATGCCGACGAGCGCTAGGTGACGCTTTTGCACCCTGCTCCCTCTTATGCTGTGCTGGTGCCACTGTACGACCAACGCCTCTTCCTCCAAACTGCACACGTCACTTGCATGACCTTGATTCCATGTGGGGTCTAGGACCTTATCTTCCACCCACTCCTCAACCCTGCCCTCCTTGCCAGTATGCACACTGCAGAAAGCTACAGTAGTTGGCACCTGTGTTTTTCCAGCATGTAAAGTCTGCAAAAGACATATGGATCCAGGCAACAGTTTTCTCTATAAACTGACCTCTCAGTTTTACTTGTGAGGGTATTGCCCCAGAATTATAATATTGTTAAAGTACCTCTTAGCTATTGGTAACTGGTTTAAATATAGCAGCTTGTTATCTGGTAGTTTCTAGTGTAGAAAATATCAATCTGTTTTCTATCACTTAGATATATGTAACAAGTGTTGTAGGTGTGAAACAATATTACAAGTGACCGATGTAGTAAATTTGAATCAAAGTTACGCTTCTATTTGACTCTCAGATATGTACTATTTAGCAGATTAGAAGCAAAATAATTAGAATGTTTACAAGTGTGCTGTAAGCGCACTATTAGACGCTTCGATTTGACTCTCAGATATGAAGAGCAGGACCCAAAATGTACTATTTAGCAGATTAGCACCCAGAAAATTAGAATTTTTACAAGTGCGCTGTAAGCAAAATATTAGATGCTTCGATTTGACTCTCGGATATGAAGAGCACGCCCCACATTTACTATTTAGCAGTTTAGCACCCAGAAAATAAGAACGTTTACAATTGCGCTGTAACGGCAGGATTTGATGCTTCTATTAGACTCTCAGATATGAAGTGCACGCCCCAAATTTACTATTTAGCAGTTTAGCACCCATAAAATAAGAATGTTTACAATTGCGCTGTAACAGCAGTATTTGACGCTTCTATTTGACTCTCAGATATGAAATGCACGCCCCACATTTACTATTTAGCAGTTTAGCACCAAAAAAAAAAGAATGTTTACAATTGCGCTGTAACCGCAGTATTTGACGCTTCTATTAGACTCTCAGATATGAAGTGCACGCCCCAAATGTACTATTTAGCAGTTTAGCACCCAGAAAATAAGAATGTTTACAATTGCGCTGTAAGAGCACTATTAGACGCTTCTATTAGACTCTCAGATATGACGTGCACTCCCCAAATTTACTATTTAGCAGTTTAGCACCCAGAAAATAAGAATGTTTACAATTGCGCTATAAGCGCACTGTTAGACACTTCTATTTGACTCTCAGATATGAAGAGCACGCCCCACATTTACTATTTAGCAATTTAGCACCCAGAAAATAAGAATGTTTACAATTGCGCTGTAACCGCAGTATTTGACGCTTCTATTAGACTCTCAGATATGAAGTGCATGCCCCAAAATGTACTATTTAGCAGAACAGCAGCAAAACAATTAGAATGTTTACAAGTGCGCTGTAGGCGCACTATTAGACGCTTCTATTTGACTCTCAGATATGAAGTGCATGCCCCAAATTTACTATTTAGCAGTTTAGAGGAAGAGGAAGGTGAGACCATAAGGTCCTAAGTGAAAGAATAGTTAAACAAGGAGAGGGAGCCCTACCTTTTATTAAACCTAATTTCTATTTAGGTTAATTTAATGGAAACTAGTTTATTGGACAGGCAGGGAGTGGTATGTAGGTAGGCACTTGTTTACAGTGCTGAGGTATATGGATTGTTTTTGTAGCTAACTTAGATAGACCTTCATAGATAGGGAGAGATATATACTGTAGGCACTTGTGTGTTTTTTCTCAGTGCCGAGGTATAGATATTTCTTTACCCATTTCCCACTTATTCCTGTCCTTTTCTATAGTGTTCTATAGGGCTTGGATTTTGTGAGATTTCTTTTTCTTTTCATCTCTCCCCTTTAGGTCTAGTATATGGGCTCATTTCCCCCATTAGCCCTAAGCTTTTCATTGTTATTACCAGTTTTCTCTATTCTCCACACTTTACTTATGCTATCTAGACTTGCATGACTTTTCTCTGATATAGCCTGGTCTCTCTCCTTTGAGTGAGTTAGCATTTAGAATTTGTATTTGTGCTGAGGAATTAGCATTCAGGTTTTGAATGCAAGTTTGAGGAATCACTGCCTCTTCCACACCTCCCTTATTTTCTGTCCATTTTTTATATTGCTCCTCTCATTAGGTTTAATAAAAGGTAGGGCTCCCTCTCCTTGTTTAACTATTCTTTCACTTAGGACCTTATGGTCTCACCTTCCTCTTCCTCTAATCGTATTTTGTGGGTTATTCCCCGTTAGGAAGAATAGTTCTAGGGCAGACACAGACCTTTGGGCCAATTAGGGACCCCAGGGTCAGTGTATATCCTTACTCTTTCCTCTCTATATTTTGTTTTTGGGTGTTAGGCACCACACTTTCCTGCCCTATACACATCCTTCTCAATAGTGATCACAATTTAAGCAGCTAATTTAATCAGTTTAGTAGCCTAATGGCCGGTTTCCTCACAAATAAAATAGACCCTAAACAGTGGTGTTCAGACGCGGACACCATTTTCTCCACTAACCCTTCATTCCAAAGCCTTCCTCCAGTAGATATTCAAAGTGGATTTAACAAGCTGACTAAGATCTTTAAACAACAAATTAAAACAAGCTGGGAAATCTCAACCTTAGAGACGTATATTGCTAAAAAGATCATTCCCAGGGGATTGAGAGTCTTGGTTCCACCATCCAGAAATATTGAAATAGAGGGTTTTACTCAAGAATGGGAAGACGCAGCTGCCAAATGTTCAACCACCTTTATGTCCATTATTTGTAAATATGAGAGTTTACACCTGGTCAATATTCAAAAAACCCTAGATAACGAGATTGAGAATATTCAAAGATTTAAAGATGACCCACAGTTTCAAAACCTGGAAGTAAAATTGAAATCTAATCTAGACAAGTTCTCTTACCAAATAAAAATCAAAAAACATCATAAATTTATAAGAGATACTACTGATTTTGAAACTGGAAGAGTATATCGTCAGACAAAAAGGAGGGTTAGAATAGATTCAGATCACTTCAGCACATCAGAATATGAGTCCACTGATAATGAGGGCGATACTGCCACTCCTAATCCTACACCATTAGAGCCTAAAAGTATACTAAGAAAAGGTGTAGATTTTTTAGGATTAAGACAAGCGGACGAAATACAACGCCCCAGAACAAGACAATCACAGAGAGGCAAGGCCCAGAGGAAATATCGACGATAGTAGCGAATGACCTCAGGGTCATTAATCTATCCTCAAATAATCTGACGGACATGCAAATCATGACTCTTTCTAAAGGCCTATCTTTTGTACCTACCCCCCCCTTTAACAAATTTATATGGACTAAGGACTTACATCTGTTTGCTCGCAAGTTAGCACTACATAAGTACCATATGCACAAAAAAGAACAGAAAGCCCAAAATCTGGGATTAACAGTCAAAGATATGGACTGTCTAGATACACTAATTGAACTCCTTGACTCTAATGACCATAGTGATCATATCCCCACTACCCACCTTGCACCTAAGAGCCGCTTTACCCCCCAATTGAAAGACTATAAAAACATTGAAGTCTTCTTGGAAATGGTATGCAGGGATATTGAGAAAGCAGATCTAGGCACTTTGAATATAGAATCCTGCTGCAATTTGAGTAGCAGAGAAAAACTAGCCTTGAAACAATTAAAGGAGAATGATAAACTAGTGATTAAACCATCTGATAAGGGTGGGAATATAGTGCTTATGGACCATTCCAACTATGTACAAATGGTACTGCGCCTGCTAATGATAAGGAAACTTATCAGAGACTTGGTCACGACCCTACTATGCAGAACTCTGCTGAGATCAAAACATTACTGAATAATGCACTCACAGACAAACTCATTACTAAAAATGAGTTTGATTTTATGTGGATTAAACAACCAGTACTCTCAACATTCTATAGTCTACCTAAGGTTCATAAATCCTTAGACAATCCATCAGGTAGACCAATTGTGTCGGGCTGTGGTAACCTTACCCAAAACCTAAGTATTTACTTAGATAACATCTTATCCCCCATGGTGTGTAAATTACCATCATACATAAGGGATACTAAACAAATGCTGAACTTTCTGAGGGATCTATCCACACCAGAGCAAGCACTTCTGTGTAGTCTCGATGTGGAATCTCTCTATAGCTCTATACCACATTCAAAAGGTATTGATAACATCAGGACCATTTTGGAAACAGA